GATGTAAAGTAGAGGAAACAGAAAATATAATTAAATTATAAGGTTATTAATTTTTTTCTCTTCAAAGTACTCAATATGCAAAAATGCTGTGATTTTAGTGATACAAAAAGGGTTACTTTCTCACTGGAGAGATGAGTTTTTCAGCTTTCAGTAATATTTATCGAACCCAATTCAATCTCTAACACAGGTCACTGATGCAGGAAGGATTGGAGCAATGTAATGGTTTTGAGTGAAACTTATTTCAGCAAATATTGGTTTTGAGGAGAGGATGTGACCTTGTAGGGTACAGCAAATCTGCAGCCACACTCACCACCTGATTTGAAAAATTAAAATCAAAATTGTTCTTTCCTTATAGGTGACAATTAAAATCGACTTTGACTTGGCACCAGGTTCCTTTGATGATCAGTACCAAGGTTGTAGTAAACAGGTCATGGAGAAATTAAATCAAGGAGATTATTTCACAAAAGACCTAGAAGCCCATAAGAACTACTTCGGGGCGTGGCAGAAAGCTCACTTAACCTGGAGGAACCAAGAACACGCTTTCCCCATGAACTTGACTACACCACATGCTGTGGCTCTCTTGGTTTATATATTGAACGGCAGCGTTCGCGCTGACTTTTCTAAAGCCATGGCCACTGACGCCAAGACTCCGCAGCAGTATGAACATTCATTCCATTTCAAATATTTGCACTACTATCTGACCACAGCAATCCAGCTGCTGAGGAAGGAGATCACCACGGAGAATGACACTCTCTGTTATGAAGTCCACCATGAGATGAAAGATGTCCACTTCAAAACCTACATAGGTGCCACCATTAGGTTTGGCCAATTCCTCTCCACGCGCCTCCTAAAAGAAGAGGCACAGAAGTTTGGGAACCAGACACTATTTACTATATATACCTGCCTGGGTGCACCTGTACAAGACTTCTCCCTCAAGAAGGAAGTCCTGATCCCTCCCTATGAGTTGTTTAAAGTCGTAAATACGAGCTACCACCCAAGAGGAAATTGGTTACAATTGAGGTCAACTGGGAACCTGAGCACATATAACTGTCAGCTGCTAAAAGGTACTCTTGATCTAAATTAAATCTGCTATTAGGGTCACAGACCACTACTCTTTTATAAAAATTATGTTTTCTGAGTGGACTTATAAGAAAAAGGCCAAAAACATGGAAATTGGCCTTCGGTAATAATAGAACTGACGGATTAGAGAAAGCCCACTTGATTTCTCGGTTTCCTCTCTCTCCTTTCTCCTCCACTACCTCTAGGAAAATGAGTTTCTGCAAGGGCATTATTATGTAGGGAATTCTAGACAGGGAGAGTAAATCTTGACTGGAAAAGATAGACCATAAAATATAGCACCTTTACCTTCTCCCTCAAACTCATTCTTTTTTCACAGTTATTATATAGATAAGGAGTTCTAAAAGTAAAGCAGGAGGCAAAATGTATTCATTAATTGTCATTCCTTAACCATCTTCTATTGTGATAGGAGGTTCTGACAATACAGAATGAATAAAGCAAAATCATTGACCTTGGAGGATTTTCAGTCTAACAAGAAAAGGAAACATGAACAAATGTATACAGTCAAGGCTACTGAGTGATACACCAGAGGCTTAAGCAATGGGTGCATGGCTGCTCAATGCAGGGAGGTGCTTGGTCTCTCTGGGGAAAGCAAGGAAGGCTTCCAAATAGGGCCACATGGGACTTCAAGTGTGAATGAGGGTTTTCAGGGAAAGAAGAGAGGAAAAGTCATTTTAAGTGAAGAATAGCATGCTATGATTTCAGTGTATCCCCTATAAGTTCATGTGTTGGAAGCTTAATCCTCAGTGCAACAGTGTTGGGAGGTGGGGCCTAGAGATGATTGGGTCTCTCCTAATAAGAGATGATTGA